AAATGCACGCGGTATCTCCTTCGCTCTTTGAATGAACTCATGCAGCGATCACGTGATGCGTGTCCCGTTGCAGGGGCGTCCAAAGTTTACTCTTCAGTCTGAATGCACGTTAACGAGCGTCCGAATGCAGTGAGTACACTGAAGTAACTGCGCGCTTAGTCCACTCCTTGCTGTCAGCTGTGGCGACGCGGGGCTTGCTTTGTTTACGCTGTCTCATCTCCGCGAATGGACTATACATGAATCGTTATTAGAAATTTTAGTTACGTCTTCTTAGGCAGTGGAGGAGTGTTACGTTAACCGTGTTAGACCGGCTAACACATTGGGAAATAAAGTAAAGCATAGTACTTTGGTGGTTCAGTGGTACGCCATATGCTGACAGGATATGCAATCAGATAATGTATCTTCTGCCAGCTGCAGCGCCCCAGATAAACAAACGCTTGCCAGCCAGTTCATCGCCGCTGAAGCTATCCGTCCGTGAGCGCAGACGCAGGTAGAAGAGAAGTATATGGTATAGGCTTAATAGGACGAAAGAATGCGTGACACATCAGCCAAAGTAGAATTGTACACGTAGACACAGTTCAGTTGCTTGGTGCTGATGAAACCCCCAAGCAAGTGTGGGACGGTAAATGGTGCCCCCCCCCCAGGATATCTTAACATTCTTCAAGATTTTGACTTCAAGGCGTATATGAAAGTACTTCTAGGAGTGCTAACGCAAACTCAAAGCCTTCAAATTTGTGAAAACCCTAAGTACATAATGATATCATATACCGTTTCAAATTAAGTGGAAGAATTTCAGAATTTCTTAACAAAAAAAGCAAGAGCTTTGAAAATGCCTGTTCAGAAGGAAATAGAGAACATTCGGAATAGATGGCTAAAAGACAATGAATCGAAATGATTAATAATAATAATAATAATAATAATAATAATAATAATAATAATAATGAAACACATTTTATCGTTGGCTCTACTGTAAAATATTCAGAGCTATGAAAGGGCAGCTCACAAATCGACTTCCGAAAATTCTCGAACTAAATCTGCTTCGCCACTTCTGGAATTTGGAGACTTCAAACTACCCAGTAAAGTTTTAGGCTACTGCTTATGAGTTGTTATTAAAATAATGCGGACGGTATATTGATTATCTTCTTCTGAAAATCGAAATTTCCTTCATTTATTCGTTGGCAGAATTTTTACGAAGCGATATTTTAGATTTTCTCTATCTTGCTATTGCTTGAAATCTGAGTACGTCATTCCCAGAAGTCACAAAATGATCTGCCTTATTTGTGCAACAACGGATGCGTCTGTCGTGCATACACACTGTGTTCTGAAGACGGCCCAGTCACGCGGTGCGCAGAATTAGGAACGACTCACTAAGTTATCATTATTAACAAATGAGTAGAAAATTCTCCTAGATATAAAACTCTTGACTCACGTAACCCTGTGATAGATATTGTCACGTGAAAGGACTGCGCCGTGGTTTCTGGTAGAAAATGGATTTACTGGTCACTAATTATTCTATCTGTAACTGCCAGGAGCAGTCTCAAGAGATTACTTCCGGGGAAAAAATCTCTGGCCCTCGCCAGCACAGGCATTATTTCTCTATATAATTCGCAGCGGGCCGCCTAGCCGACCCTGCTCTCAGCATCACTTCGACTGGTGTGGCTTTACGTCATCAAGTAAATGAACGGACTCTGCAGTATTTCTGCTGCTCCAGAAGTAGACGGCCTGTCGCAATATAAGTTACTCATTCAGAAATATCTTCTCATGGAACTAAAATATAAAGTGCAATAACAGAGGCAAGCTCAGTAGCCGCCAACTGCCGCCAACTGTTTTTCTGCTTATTTGCTTCCTCCTGCACGCCTTAACTTCATAAATATTTATCTCAGATCTTGAGAGATGCGTTGTACAATGATATTCACAGTCTTCAGAATTTTCACGGCCTCTGTCTGCCTCGGGGTTTGCTTAACGTATTTTTTTTTTAAATCAGGTTCCGACACTGATCTCAAGGCACTGTAAACACAATCGCGTGAAATGACTACCTTCTGCGTTCTGATCATAAATGGATTTATTGCACATTAGTTCCCTTTGTTAAGGACAATTACAATTGGCAATTTACTCCTCTGATCTCTCCTTCTTCATCTTCTCCCCCAACACGTCGTCTTCTTTTTCATTTCTCCTTTTCCTTGTTTCCTTGGTGCTCTGTAATCAGAGACTGACTCATCGGGCTTTGGGTAAATTTTTGCTGGACTTGTCCACTCCTGTTCAGGACCTTGAGGAAACCATGAACACATTTCTGTCTTCCGACTCTGGATCGAGAGGTTAACTTTCGGCTCTCGCAAACTGAGTCATCAGTCAGTTAGTAAGGTAAATTTCTGCTGACACCCGCCAGCACAGCCTTTCTTTGTTTCGGGCCCAGTCGGAACCCATGACCTAATTTATGTTTGTTTCAATACTGTTTGTGTTTGGAAATGGAGTCTCCTCTTTGACTAGAGGAGGGAATTTTCTTTCTGAGTAGACGACATGTTTATTGCACCGCAATTCCTACGAGCGTGCCCACATTTATACTGCGTCCAGCTAAGGGCAATTGTTCACGCTTTGTCACTCGTGCAAGATATGCACAGGATCCGGCCTGCTCCTTGTGTACTCGAACTCAGAACTTCTACTGCGGCTACAAGAGCTCCAGCAGTTTCCGATTACTGCCTGCGCGCTCGCTACCGGAGTACGGGCCATGGCGTGGCGTTGCCTTGTAATGGGCGCCACCCCGATATTGGTTTTCCAAAATTACGACGCGTACGGGTTTTAACACTATGTCGCTTTGATCCCTCCTTAGAGCTGCTCGTCCAGAGCAGCCCCTTGGCAAGTTTTCAGTCGATCCAGGAGTACTGATGTCAGTCTCCCTGGAGGATACCGGTGGATCCTATATGACATATCACTGTATGGATCACTACAATATGTGGGCCTCCCAATGACGGCCGGGGCTTGAGTGACTTCCCTTTAGTCAGAGCTGGGCGATACAAGATGTACTGATGACCCTCTGGGATGCCAACGGAATTTGGCAGGCAATCATAACGCGCTTTCATTCTGTCTGTCGCTAATCTCAGGCTTTTGTGGGAGTAACGGTGGGATCATAAAACCGATCGGATCAGGAATCTTCGACCTTTTGTAGCGGGAAATAATATTCTGAGGCTAATATTTACTTTCCTCATGTCTAGGCAGACAGGGGGTTCCAGTTCTTCACAGACGAGCGCGACAGGATATCACCTGGGCTTTCAGTCTCCTCAGCTGCCCAGCGCTGCTTGGTCCCTTCGAGCATTTCCTCTCTCTTAGTCAGCGAAATGCTCCTTTTGGGGGTTGTCGGATCAGTCTGGCATAACCGTCATCGACGCAGTGGTAAACGAAGTAGTCATTCTTCATCGCGAAGATGGTGACTAGACCATCACTCTCACGGGTGTCCTTACCGCCTGCTTCCGACTTGTCGACAAACACTCTTCCCGAGGTTCTGCCACGAATCTCCAAATCATTAAAGGACTTTCTCCCAGATTCCCCCAGCGCCCTCTTGAAAATGAGATTGTTCTCCTCTCTGCCTGTAGAACGTACCGACTCGGATCCATCTAGGACAGCCCTGTTGTGCTGTTAGCTCTGGCGAGGCTTGGCTTCCCTCTGATACACCTCCTGTTTTTCAGACTGTCATCGCCACTCTTGACTAACGCACTAAGCGTGGAGCGTTAGGATGGGGTAAATGATGCCCGACGACTGCGACAAATTCTAGCACAGACTATCCCTTAGCTAAGTCCTGCATTTCAGTTACGAGCCGTACCCCGCAGCTAGTTGGTGGTTCCTGTAACTTCCCTAGAGCTCCCAAATAATTCTCAGAATGTCGGCGGACTCTCCCTATAGAGCAGCGAGTCATGCGTAGCCTCTCCTGGGGCTCGAAATGACGACGAACCGCGGCCCATGATATGAACCTATAAAACTCTGGAGGCACTGTCTTATTCATGGCGGTTACTGCGTTCCCTCCGCCTTTACTCACATTTCGGTCTTCGACTTCTGTACCTCTATGTTGCCGTGTGGTCTACTGCCACATTCGTTGCTTGTATATCCAGTTGTGTCCCTTACGTCACATTCACAACCACTGCAAAGGTTCTAGACTCGCTGATCTACAGACGTCAGTGCTTTAGGCTTCTTCACATGCGGTCTGGGGAGACCGAATGGCTCTTTTCGCCATCTTCGTATGCTTTGGCCAGTATTTATTAAGGCCCTAGATTCTCCTTGTCTGTATCTATCGTGGCTATCATCTCTTCTCTACCGGGACATGCTGCTCCTGATATTAGTGACTTGTGGACTTGGGCCGAAAATTGATTTATTGTCGACACTACCCCGTCTTTGTTACAAGTAATTACATTTGGTTATTTTATTTATCTTGTCTTCTCTACATCTTCGCTTTTTCTTCTTCCCCTTCACAAACAGAAAGTTGTCTTATTCCATCTAGACAGCCGGGTTAACGCGGTGAGGGGATTTTTACATTCGTCACCATGTCGAAATCGATTCTATTGTTCGTCAAGATTCCTACACAGTGGGAACCATGGAATTTGTCGTAAAGTGTCCGGTGTGTGAGGCTGAGCGCTCACTACCATTTAGTACCTAGGTTAAGAATGCAAGAAGTTTTACCCCAACCCGTCATATATCTTCATAGCGGAAAACTTTTCTCAGATCTGCATTTCTCTACATCTTGGGCGCACAGAGCCCCGTGACCCTTGACTGGCAATACAGGCCGTCGTAACCCCAACGTACGAAGCTAGCCGCTCCCTTCGCGACGCATTAGTTTAAGGACGCTGTTTGCGTAACTGAAGATGTGACTGGTTAACGACTCCTCTTAGCAGAATGGGCCGAACGAAACAACTGAAGCGGCGCCTTTCCTTTCTTATAAATTCATTACCAGAATCACACTGTCAGAGACATTATGTCGGAAGCATTGTCATTAATGAGGTTCATTGTAATTTTAGGGAGCTGCTGTCAATCTGTCGCTGTACTACGAGAGCCTCTGCCCGGACAGCATGAACTTTATCAAATTCCAGCTCTACCCAACGTGGCTTCTCTTGACCGGGGAATATCTCGCTGTTGATTTTGTCCCTTATGGAAAGGCTACGGTAAGTAAATATTGATAATAAAATGTTCCCCTTATTCTTCTATATGAACAATTATTATTGAGGGACCCAGAAATAATAAAATTCAGAATCATTCACTTTTCAGAACACTATTTACAGGAACGATGTTTTTCACAGAATTCCTTACATTTTAAATTAACGGAGTCTTATCGTGTCAAACAATTATCAGTATTCAATGAATCGGTTAATAATCATGAATTCTGTCAAGAATAATTTTAGCGGTGTAATATGAGTCCTGAGCCAAAAGCTATTTAGTGTCTTATGATTATCAGCTTACAATAAATTTGTCAGATGGTTGTGAACAGAAGGATTGAGGTAATTTTAGCACTCTCATCGGAAATAAAGAACACGACGGTATACAAAAGAACTCGTTCAGCAGGAACAATGTTTCCGGATGTTTTTCGATTTCAGATATCGTTCAAACTCAACAGACAGAGTTGGCAGATCAAATGAGCAAAACCTTATATTAAATATGTGGAATATTACTTTTTTATTTTGATAAAATTTTACAATCTACTCAATATACATAAATAGAGTAATTAGTAAAAGGGGTAGGTGTGTGTAATAATTAAGCAGGTATCATCCTCCGATGATTCTCTGGTGCTTATCTAATGAGATCCTCTGGCCACATTATATCGTACATACACTTTATATGTTAAAGATATTCACCCCATCATACTAGTGCTCAAATATTAGATAGGGAAATCACAGATTACTATCTGAACCTAAGAAGATATAATTCCATATTCTTCTAATCATTAAAACGAAAAACAGACACATCACTATATGTGTTCTAGACTAAATTATAGAATACAATTACAAGAAAGTCAGCTTTAACAGCTCATGCTTTCCTGTAAACAATGAGATTCTGTAAGCAGTTCAATATATGGAAAGAAAATAAATCCCTGATGCTGTATACTACCTACTAGCACATGTTAGGCTGGTAGTTTAGATTGCAAGAATGCAATCCGTTGTCTATAACACCGAAATACTCATCTGACTTACAAATCACTTGCCATCCTTCTTCATGGTATAACATAAACTCTACACACAACTGTGCACATTTTATACTGTCATTGAACAGGATTGCAAGCATAACACCAGTGACAACATGTAACTCACGTAGCATACCACCTTGTTATAAGAAAGAATTTTTCATGCAAACAACATATGTACATAAAAGGGAAAACTTTTGAATCCATTGCGTGTGAATGGAAATCTTAATATTCGTGAAAACAACACAAAACCTCACAACACATCACTGTATATATATAACACACAAAAATATAACGTCACACTTTAGAATTTAATCTTCCCTTTACACTCGACATTAATGTGACCAAAGCAACACACATTATACACCCCACCCTGTCACACAGAACTAAGTTATAAATTGAAAAAAAAAATCTTCAATGGGAACTAGAAATTCACTTTTCACTTTCTTCTTACAAGTACTTACAATAAGGCAAAGAAAAAGTGTATCATTTTGACTAATAAGCTACTCACACGTGTAATATTCAGAGGCTACATACCAAAACTACAACACCCTCTTTTCTGTCATACCAAATATGCACTCATAAAATCAAATTCACTCTCTATCCATATGACCACGATAACACATTTTGTGCAAGTCACAGTACATACTTCACACGAGATTATTAATAATTGTGCAAGAATATCCTCAAGGACACAATTTCGTTCACTACACATGTAATATACGTATAAGCAATTACTTTTGTTAAATCAGTAAATGTACGTTATGGTGTATTCTAACTTCACACATACTTCAGTTTTGTGGTTCAGAGGGAAACACTTGGATTTTGTTGTGGAACAGAAGAAAGACATGTTTGTAAAATTTCATGCACTCCTCATTACTCTGTCCAGGATAATACACACATTAAAGCGTACCATTTGCACTATGTCACTGAATCATTTAAGATATACTTTCAGCAGATAATTAATCGTAACTTGCACATATGTATATAAACAGACACATATTACACCGTCTTATTATTTATAAACACCTCTTAATACCAGGAAAGAAACGTACCTTGATTTTGTACAACGGCTATTTAGGTCACAGTGACAGGGCAGCCAACATCTTAACGTGACTGAAACAGAACATTCCATTATCAGTTTGTTTAGATGACGGTAATTTTTCATCCTTTATTTTACCCATTTTCGTGAATAATATTATTCTACTTTCTATCCAGGAAGGTAAATTCGGGCGAAAGAAATTCCAAGCAGTCTCCGAATTGGTCGCGTATCCATCCATGAGAAAGAAGGGAAGGTTTCATGGATAATACAGATTATTAGTCACTATTAGTCACAACCTTATGCCATTGGAGGGCAGCATAATGCCATAATATGTGATCTTCAGCAATAACTTGTATCACCGTGGGGGATGCGCAAACTCGTGAAGTGGGAGGGGGGTCTTCGATTGGATGTAAGCTATCACGTAGCACTATAACCTCGGAATATTAGAACACAGATTGATATTATGGGTGGGAAAAAAAAATCAAAACGCCCAATTTTATACATAAAGTCATATTTCGATTTATATTCCATGTAAGGGGAGTCCTATATTACGATCCGTTAAATAACAACTTCGTAAATGACGTCTCTCTTAGGTGTGCGCAATGAACTACTGCGAATCCACATGTAACTCTGGGGTACCATTCCCTGAGGTAAGGTTAAGTTAGGTTAGCTTTGCGCAGCAGACTACTGCGCATCCATCTGTACCTTTCAGAGGGCGAAGATCGATAATTTACGCTAATGTTAGTTTGAATGTGTACATTATGACAGGTGTGCGCAAATGACTACTGCGCATCGTTATGCTCAGTTGAGCACTGTTTGGCCGTCGGCAATATCTTACGATTTAACATAAACACGTGACAACTGGTGTCAGAAGCGTCGGACTGGAAATGGCATTGGACTGAAAATTGAATTGTGTGATTACCGCCTCATTCCACGGAAATGGAAGAAGCGAAGTAACAGTTTGCGGGATTCCTGAACGCCACGGAATAAATGAGATAAACACAGATAAGTTCTCTAGCCGCTAAGTGGGACGCCGACCGATCGAGAAGGAGGGAAGGAAAGTAGGAATGAAAGCCGGCCGAGAAGAAAGGAAGGCTGAAATGAAAGACAAAGTGGAAGCTGAACAAGGAAATCTGGTGCAAAGTTGGAAGCCAAGATGGACGCCAATCACGTAAAGATGATCGCCAGCCGAGAAAGGATGACAGCCAAGATGGACTCGGCTTGCAGAAATGAAAGGCGGTCGAGAAGAGGCGACTGCTTGCCAAGATGCAACGGAGTCCTGCCCAGATACGGTAAATGCAAATTCAGGGCGGAGCATCGGGAGGTCCACAAGGAACACGCAGCACTGGGAACTGGCAGAGCCCAGAATTAGCGGCGTCTAGCCGCAGAGCACCGCCAAGGGTCGAAGGAAGAGGATCCGGCAAAGTTATGGATCCCGGAATACGTTGGCAGACAGCCGGAAGATGACCCGCCATACAGGAGTGGCATGGTGCAAGGTACACGTCGTCAGGAAGAATCAGACGAGAGACAAGGCCGAACGAGAATCTTCGAAAAGAGGGACGTTCGAGAGGACGTGTCAGCCGAAATGGATTAAAAATAGAGACTTGAGACAGCAGCTACGAAACAAGGGGGAATTCAATAAGAACCTCAGGGTGGCCCTAGGACTTGGGTTCGTGGGGCGAGCAGCAGGGAGGTCCAGAGGGTTGCAGAAAGTGGGGGACTGGACATTGTGGAGGGGGTGGGCCCACTCCGAAACGGAAAAAGAGCCTACTCACAACTTTAGCTTAAGAGGAGCCAGAAATTTGGGAGAACCGGCCACTCGGGATTGTTTTGCCCCCACAGTTTGAAAATAAAACACAGAATTATGTTGATGCATTGGGATCAGGAAGCTGCTCGGGACGAGCGACCTTAAAGAGGTAGCAGTGGTAGCGGTTGGAGGGAAGTAGACGCAGAAACAAATAAGTATATGTTGCTGTCTCGTCACCAGAATGCAGGGCAAAATCATAACATAAAGAGAGCTATCAGATCCTTTGAAAATGTGGCACAGTTCAAGTATTTGGGAACGACAGCAAGAGATCAAAAATTGATTCAGGGGGAAATTAAGATGAGATTCAATTTAGGTAGCGCTTGCTTCCATTCAGTCCAGAACCCTTTGTCTTTTCGTCTGCTGCCTAGAAGAGTAAAAATTAGAATATACATAACTATAATTTTGTCTGTGGTACTGTATTGATGTGAAACTTAGGAACATGGACTGAGGGTGTTTGAGAACAGGGTGCTGAGGAGAATATTTGGACTGAAGAGAGATGAAGTGACAGGAGATTGGAGAAAGCTGCATAACGAGGAGCTTCATAACTTTTACTCTTCTCCAAGTATAATTAGAATTATCAAGACATAGGGGATTAGATAGTCAGAGAATGTGGCACGCATGAACAAGAAGAATAAGAATAAAATAGGATTTTGGTGGGAAAGTCAGAAGAAAAGAGATCGTTCAAAGACGAAGATATAGGTGGGTGGATAATATTAAAATAGATCTTAGAAATGCCACGTATAATGGGGTGTATTGACTGGATTGATCTTGCCCAGGATAAGGACGAGTAGAGAGCTCTTGTGAACCAATTCTTGATTATTAATGTGCCGAGTCAACAGCCGCAAGGCCAATTACAGACACAACACAGTGCAGATGAATGAATTACATTATAGACAAACTTATTAAAAGTCAAATACAAATTACAGTTTAATACAGTTAACGTAATGTTCATAACACCATCACGGCACAAAACAGTAACTAACAATTGAACATCTCAATAATTTTCTCATACACGTATAAGGCACAAGTGGTCCTGACAGATTTGGTATACACAAGATACGAAAATATGAAGAAAAAAAAGTGTTCAGTAGAATACTTTTGCGGTAATATTACACAACCTCTCCCGCGTGTAATACAT